TAGCCCAGATCACATCCCTTCTTGCGAGAGTTTCCTCCCAGATCCACCCGTGCGGCTGCCTTGATCCTTCCACTGGTCCGATTCGTTTAGCCGTATCATTGAATAATATCAGATTTATTATTCAATGGCAGTATGGAAGCCTTCCGAGTCTCTGCCTCCACAGCTAAGTGTAAAGGCTCTAGTCCCAAATCTGCCTTCATGGACAAGGTTGGTGTGGTTTTCAGAGCTCCAGTGACTCCCAGACAGGCGAGTCGCTGGACCTTTCCTAGGTAGCCTTGCGCATGGCAGGCCACCATACAAGTGCACCATACAGTATTATTGGCCTTATCACTACAGTGTAAAGCCGATATACCAGTCGCGGGTTCAAGACCAATGTACAATCAGAAGCCGTTTTGCATGCCCATAGACATTCAGTGTCCTTTTTGCTAATTCGTCAGAGATGCTCTAAAGCGGTGGGAAAAGTGTAAGAGCAGCGGCTCCAGGTCCTTCTGCAGAAGAGCCGAGAATATCCCGTCTGGTCTTGCACTCTTAAATGGGCTGAACGTGTTGGGCCCTCATCTCCGAGATCCCTCGGTAACCACCCGGGCAGCTACTTTCCAGTCGATCGGCCGTTATCGACCCGGGTAGCGGGTCCGTTAATTTGGCCCCCCCCCCCCACTGAGAGATTTGATAGTCGTATTATTTTGAAATGAATGCGCTCGTTATGCGCTCATATGCGCCACCGATAATAACTCTTGCGCCATTATCGTTTTTTAGAAATCCGAAAAAACATTTGGGGGCCAAGTGAACGTAGCCCCCCCCCCCCCCAGTACGTATTTTGTCGCTTGTAACTAGGTCACCTGATACATTTGGTTATGCGCTCAATTGCGCCACTTGAATTAAAGCTAGCGCCATTACGGTTAAGCCATAAAAAATTTTTAAAAAGTGGAGGGTCTAACTTAGCGTTGTCAAAAGTGACGTTTTTTAACATGTTTAACATGTTTTAACATTTTAGCGCATGATGAAAGGTACGATGTAGTAGAAAAACATATTAAAAAACGTAACTTTTGAAAACGTTGTTAGCCCTCCCCCCACTTTTTAAAAAATTTTTATGGCTTAACCGTAATGGCGCTAGCTTTAATTCAAGTGGCGCAATTAAGCGCATAACCAGATGTATCGAGTGGCACAAATACCGGTAGCAAAATGCGTTATGGGGGGTTCCGTTCACTTGGCCCCTCCCAAATATATTTAAGGATAACCAAAAAACAAGAATGGCGCAAAGATATCTTTTTACGGCGCATTTCAGCGCATCCCTGAGAGTAGTATGAAAAGATGTTAAAAAAAGTAACTTTTAAAAACGTTAAGTTGACCCCCCTGCTTTTTGAAAATTCGTCACGGCTTAACCGTAATGGCGCTAGCTTTAAGGCCTACGTTCACTTGGCCCCCCAAATGTTTTTTCGGATTTCTAAAAAACGATAATGGCGCAAGAGTTATTATCGGTGGCGCATATGAGCGCGTAACGAGCGCATTCATTTTAAAATAATACGACTATCAAATCTCTCAGTGGGAGGGCCAAGTTAACGGACCCCCGGGTAGCTCATTTTGGTGGTTGGGACCGAAGTTAAGTAGTTCCTAGAGCATGGAAAGTGTGTTTCCAGGAGACATCTGAGAGCCTCATCCGCGGTGTACATACATCTGTCGCATGGAAGCCTCAGTGCAAGTATCACTATTTTTTAATAATAAATGGCGCTATTAATTCGTAAAAACGCAAGAAACTACGAACATACACTACCCCCGACAAGGTTTGCCAGGAAAAAAATATGATATTTTAACATTTAAAAATAGTGATGTTTACATTTTTAAAATCAGAAAAAATGCTCTATCAATGACATAAAAAGTCAAAATGACTTCCATAAGAAAAGACAAAGTTGGTGATGGTGGAGACGAAAAGTCAGACATAAAATTTAAAACTATCATCTTGTAGAGGGAAAATAGTGGCAATAATGATATGTCATTTATTTTGAAATATCTTTTTAAATAACTTCAGTTCAAAATTAAAACGGTTTTGCGAAATCTCGTCTTTTTACACAAAATAAGCGACACTTCCATGTGGATACACTTGAATAAAACCACTTTTGGAAATATACACACTATACACTTGAATAACTTAGAGAAGAAGAACGTCATAGGGTCACATTTTGTCCTTTCCGTTCGACCACCTTATAAACTGGGAAAGGATCTCCTCTCGCATCTATCTGCCTCATGCCTTATTGGCATCGAACGCTTTTTCTTATGAACAGTTGATTGGCCTCGATCGCTTTGCACATCCGAGAGGAGAAGGGCACCACTTGCATCTTCCATGGGCCGTTTTTTCCGTATGGATCGCCGATTAGGCTCGACCGCATTCTACATCCGAGCTCTCGCATTTTGCGTGGGCCGTCTTTTCTGTATAGAACGGTTTTTCTGTATGAACCGCCGATTAGCCTCGACCGCCTTGCACATCCGAGAGAGGAAGGGACCTCTTGCATCCTCAATGGCCTGCCTATTCCGTATCAATCGCCTTTTCCGCATGGACCGCCTTTTACACCGAGAGGAGAAGGGGCACCCCTTACATCTTTATGCTACTCCAATTCAATTTGTTATAAATAATGTACACATGAATTATGTAAAGAACTACATACTGCTATTATGATATAATTACATACACATGCATGGTGTTTCATCAGCATTTTCTAATATTTAAAATAAGTACAATATGTACAAAATATTGCCGAAAAATGCTAACATAACCAAATTGAAGCAAAGCACTGAGGAACTATACGCAAACTCTTACCAACATAAAAGTAATCCTAATAATATGATGTAACATAACCTCTCATTTCGATGAAAGTAACTGATCTTTTTATTAAAGTTGTGGAAAATTTAGGGCTTCTTTCGCAATTTTTTTTTGAAAACGATGAATGAAGGTACCCTTAATAGGTTTTATTAATTTCATGCTCGTAGCTCGGGGTTCGTATAATGCAATGTAACCGGATAATATTCTAATATACTCAAATAAATAACCACAACTCCATGGAAACGTCATCTTAAGCGCATTCGATTTGTTTTATTTGGGTAATGAGTTTTCCCCAAAATTGTCATGAAACCTTCATTTTCATGCATACTTTCTGTCTGCAAATTTTAGTTTCCAAGACAGAGGCATACCATACTACTTTTCCTGTCCCCTGTCATTTTACCGGCCACACCTGTCACGTTACCTGCCCCACCTGTCACTTTTCCGGCAGTGTCGCATTGCTAAATGTCTCTGTCATCACTGACAAATGTTCTATATGAAAAATGAAACTTTACATTAAAGTACGATTTCGGGTACAATTTACTACCAAACTCGTCAGTAAAACGATATTACTCGCCAGTAATGTGTCATTTTCGACTTATGTAAATAACTATTGACAGTCACGAGTCACGACCTATTTGGAAAACATATCAGATAATACTCGAACTTGCTCATTGACGGAATTTTGGGTAAAATCTCGTATTTGACTTCTGTGTCATTGGTTCTTTGTCCACCTGAGAAATTAATTTCCTCGGAAATTAAACTTTTCTCGCACTTTATGACACATTTGATAAATAAATTGCTATTTTCCTCTCAACGAGAGTGTGTTTTTTAACTTTTTTCTCAGGAACCATAACAGATAGAAGAATGGAATTTTTCAACGTCAAAATAAGGAATCTAAAATTAGTGTTTGAAAATACAGAAAAAGCTGCAATTTTTGCTCCGGCTACAAAAATGGGCAGTTTTTTTTAGCGCATTTTTGCAAATTTATTTGTAAAAAGATTGCTTTTAATCTCACATTGGTTGGCTGACTGGCTGGCTGGTTGGCAGTAAATGCAAGCACGTAGAAGAACGCTTGTAAAAGGACTAGGAGTGAACATGTACCTATCGGGGCGTGCATTGGATTGGACTGGAGATTTTGCAGGATTTTTCTATCTTTTTCCCAGTTTTTCTCCGATTGTTTTCAAATAGGTGTCGTCGGAAAGATCTTTTCAACGCGCACTCCTGCGTGGCGGAATTCTGTTTTTTTTTCCTAGGGCCGAAATGGACCACCTTTTGCACGGCGCGCTTCGAGGGATAGTCGACTTAGGGCGCCCAAAAGTTCGAATCGCGGTTTCTCTTTCTCGTGTCGCCAATAGAAGCTTGAGTTATGAGAAGTACCCAAAAATTGAGTACTATTTTGTGCCGGGTTTTTCGCGAAATCCACCAAAATGCGAATTTCGAGTGAACGGGGCATCGGAACTGTACCGACAAAGAGAATGTGGTAATGGTAACCCCCGACGAAATCTTACTGATGGTGGAGTCAAAACTTAAAACGCGAATTGCGGGTGAATGGGGCGTCGGAAGTGGACACCGACAAAGGGAATATGATGGTTGCTTCTGACAAGATGTTACTGATGATGGAGTCAAAATACTGGCTAATAAAGCACTGATCTGTCACACAAAAATGCGCTGAAGTCCCTTCGATCTCACACGAGGACTTTGATAATTTTTTTAGTATAACGCTTCTCTATAGCAGTTCCTTGAATATTGGAGTGCAGTATTTGTCGCAGATGCCAAATGTAACTGTGCATAATAGAGAATTTGCATATAGGAATTGAAAATTTATTGCTTGATTTTAATGTAATACTCATGATCGTTATCACTACCAGTATGTTATAAAAAATTTAATCTTGAACTTTTTTTAGAAGATCGCACCTAATTCCTTCCAATACGTTTTGTTATTTCGGTGGCGAAATAGAAGTTTGTCACTACTATTTAACCAATTTTTTTAGCTTGTAATAAACTTGGTTAAATTTGACTAAATCTTATTAGTATTAGCCCTATTAAATAACTACTAAGTAAGTACCAATATTCCTTACGTTTGCTTAACGTAATTATTCCCGGTGAAAGACGTACATTGGACTTTGGATATAAAAAGTGCACTACCGCTAAATGACAACGTAATTATAAGCATGTTCAATATGTAATTATTTCCCAATAACAATTTACTAAATGTAAATCTCATCACATGAAACACAATTCATAAATCAGAAGTTTCTGTGACCAATAATTAGTGATGAATTAGTCATGAGGCCAGATGAGGTTCCAGAATCAGTACCCTGGACCCTGGCCTGATAAGCCGAATTATTACCAACATTCACGTCAATCGTGCTATTAATTTGCCCTTCATTGCAAAAACCGTTCAGCGCAAGGAAAAAGCGCTGTATAAGTTACGAAGAGCGCGTTTGCATTTTATTTGTTTAGAACGCGGTCAAACATTCTACGCGAGTCACAATGTTGGCGATTCCATGTCCGTCTATGGATGCTGAGGAGGCGAAGTATTTTACTAAAATGAGCAGCGTATGGTGGGACACAAAAGGGCCTTATAGAACACAGTTCTTCTTCGACTCGATGATAGTACCGTTTATTATAGAACAAATTGTAAATAATCGAAAGTCCCGAGACGAACACTTATCCGATGATCAACCACTGAATGGATTGAAGATTTTGGAAATAGGATGTGGAGGTAAGCGCCTTTTACGTTATCCCTATTTCCTCTCGAGCGCGATGTTTACAGGTGGAATTGTAACTGAAAAAATGTCGAGGAAAGGTGGAGACATCACTGGAATAGACGTCAATCTGGCAATTATAAACGTTGCAAAAAATCACTTGAAACTTGACCCATCAATTACCAACGTGGAGTACCGGTTGCAATCCGTAGAGGAACACTGCCTTGACAATTTCGAAAAGTACGACGTGATTATTTTAAACACTGTCTTGCAACACATCGTTGATAAAGAACCATTTTTACAATGCTGCATCAAGTGCTTAAAACCTGGAGGCTCGGCTTTCATAGGTGGCATGAGTCAGACTTGGGTGGGTTGGTTTGCCGGTATCTTTTTGGCTGAGTTACTAGGCATTTTACCGCGGGGCACTAGTGACTGGAACAAATTTATCACTTTAGAGGGAATCGGAAGAATGGTGGAGAAGTGTAAGTCTTAAACCACACTTGGTGATTTGCTAAAATTAAACCCGCTTTATTTTAGTTAAATGCAGATTTGTGGATTCCCGTGGAATGTTCTACAATGTACTGACTGGCAACTTTTTTTATCTTAAGAGTACTTCAGTGACCTTTATAGGACATTTTCGAAAGGACATTTAGATTTTTTACCAAAGATTTCACCCGTCATTTTCCTATATACCGTGATCAGTTACAGTCAAAAGTAATGTACTTAAACAACATCAAGGTAAATTGCCACGCAGCTTGTACATAATAAAAAATGTTCTTTTTGACAAATATACATTCTGTAAAATGATGTAAAATAAATCGACCCTTTTTATCGCCTAAAACATACTGGGTGCTCTGTCCACAATTAAATAGGGTTGATCTATGAGACAACCTAGACACCTCAAACTTTAAGTACCCTTTTTCAACACTCTTTTTTGGGAACTTGAAGCTTTGACTGAGACCTGAAATTTGAAAAAAATCTCCACAAATAAGATACCTGATTCAGTAAGTTTTTCTTCATTTTCTTAAAGTTTTCTCGAACAGTGGGTTTTTGGTCAAGGAGAAATGATCTCGAAGTCAATAGGTTTTATCTATGGGACGTCGCAAACCATATTTAGTAATAAAACGCATAAGATTTTGTGTACCAGTTTTGTTTCAAAAACCACCTTTTGTGTAGAAATGAGAAAAATAAAATTCTTTAATTTTTTGGGGTAAACCAGTACTTTTCGTAAGGAAAAGTAGTAATTACGAATGGGGTTTAGATACTTTTGGACATTAAAGTATCATGGCTTCTGGGACTATAGAGCCTTCACAATTACCCGTGGAGGCATATGCTCGGCTGAATGATTGGGACGAGTGGTAGGATCGAAGCAGCCTTGGCCACGGGGGAAATTCTTAGATCTGTCCTCATCTTCGCAAGATGGGATGTTATCCAGGCTGTCTTACCAAGACCGGAGAGCAGTGGTTAAACTCAGATTGCCCGTTGCTCAAACCATGAGAGGCTCGTGTGGTTTACAGACGGGTACCTAATGGCATGGGGAACGGGCGTGGGTATATACGGTGCGAAATCGATAGCTGATGTTCCTCCCTTGGTCATCATATCATCGTGTTTCAGGCAGAGATGTTAGCCATCATGACCTGTGCACAGGAGAACCTCCTACCCTAGAAATTGTTGTCAAGGCCAGGATTAAAGACTGGGTCACTGGGCGACCAGTTAATTCCGAGTGGCAACAAGCAACCGAACTCAGACAGTCCAGTACTTTTTTAACAGGGTCCCTTGGCAAATCTGACCACCGTCGTCCTTCCCCCAATTTCCCCACAAGTCGCTTTCAAGTTGGTCTCAAGTTCTCAACTTCCCATCAAATTCCTCTCAAGTTCCTCTTGTCCAAATGTTCTCTTTCAATTAAAGTTTTCACAGGTTCTCCTCAAATTTTCTTCAAGGTGCTCGCAGGTTGTCTCAATCTATTCTTAATAATTAAATTCTATCAAGTCTTTCTAAAGATTTCTTTAAAGTTTTTGCTGAATCATTTTCATGTTCATCTTTAGGGAAGGTGCTTCCTAACCTAAACAAATAAATTAAACGCACATCTGCAGACTAAGAAAAACCACGAAAATAGCTACGCATGCGCACTGGCAGCCAAAAATGCTTCCTGTACATTTTAAGAAAAAATACTTTTCATAGAAGCAAAATGAATGTATACCAGAATAGTTATTTATATAACAAGAGCGCGAAGTTCAATTTCGCGCATTGAGACTGAAGGTATTTTGACTCGGCTTCGCCCCGTCAAAATATCAGTCAAATGCGCGAAATAACTTCGCGCTAGCGTTATATACAAAATTTTTTCTACAACTGAACCGATTGTTAATTAAATTGCTGTTTAAGTTCAACTTTGTCCCGTGCGCGACATACTTTTTTTCACTGTTGACGATTTCGCGCACGTTGTCAAGAGCAACATTACTTATTAATTAACCGATTAAAAATCTAGTACTTCGCGTTTCGAAATCCGTCAGAAAATGACAGGTTTTTTTGACAGTTGTAGAAAAAATATATTGCGCATGCGCATAATCACTTGTCTCATAAAGGAAACTGGAAACGCATTTCAAAAATTGGGAAACGCGGCCTACGCATTTTTCGAAAAAACTGATTGTAGGGAAGCCAAATAGGGGATTTTGGGAGTTACTCGAGCGCGGCAGATTAAAAGTAAGGTGGGTTGACTACGTGTTGAAAAGTGTGCATTTCAATCATCTGATGATTTGAGCGTGACGTGAGGGAGTGGGCAGGTCCCAAAAAAATCTTATCTTGAGATTCTCGAGCGTTTGGAAGTTTTTTTTTATTTCAAAGGAAATAGAAATGATGCAGCTTCAGAATAGCACGAGAGATGATAAAATTCAAAATTTAGCCGTGTCCCATCGAATTGATAGGAAGTTCATGGCAGAGAAAGCTGCATGGTGGGGCGGTTTCTGGGAACGTCTCGTGTGTACTATGAAAAATGCTTCAAAGGCAATGTTGGGAAAAAACATTGTAAACATTTAGTAAGCGGTGTTTAAGTTTGACCGTTTTTGCATTTTTGAACTAATCAATAAACAATTTATAACGTAGAACCGGTGTTTCTCCAACGTAGAAATGTAGGTACTTTATTTTATAATGTAATTTGAAAATTTAATAGGTACCTATACCTACAATAATAGTCTACTATAATTGTATCGTGCGTCGCTTACCTACTCTATTTATTCTTGTAGAGCCATATAAACCTTCTTGTTTGACGGCCATAAATAATAAAAAAAACCTGACCTTATGTCAGTGATAACGAATTCTAATACATACAGGGTGCCCATTAAGTATGGAATATAGTACCTATACAGGGTGTCCCTAAAAGGTCTGTACAACGCGCTACCAGGGGTTCTTGGTATCAAAATAGGACGATTTAACCGAACTTACCTCTATCCAAAAGTGCTTCGGTAAGGCGCTATCTACCGCCAAAGATTTAAAAAAAAAATCGTTATTTTTATTTTATCGGAAAATGGTTTTGCCGATTAAAATGAAATTCGGGATGTGAATGTCTAATGTAAAAAGGGTCTTTGTGATATCATCGTTTTGATTGTAGTTGCTATGTAGGTGGTAAAATACTGACCATCCACATCTGAAGAGGTCTAAAACTTTTTAACTACTATTTTGACGGTTCTGAATTTTTAGACACTGATAGACAGTTTACTTGCAAGCATTTTTTGTCTCTTGATGAATATCGCTATCTGTGATGGTTTACGAAAAAAAAAAAATTTAGGCATGATGAATGGCATGCACCATACATGCGATTGTTCCTCAAAAAATCAGAAGATGGCTGTGAAACCTTAGAGTGGCGTAACGTTTGTTTGTTGTTTCTTAAACTTGAACAATTTACGTTTTGCTTGAAGACTTAAAATTTCATTGTTAAAATTGTAATATGGCTTTTCAATACAGTAACGCAGAGTTAACTGATATGCTATTAGTGTTTGGATACAGTCGTGGAAATGGTCGCCAATGCGTTAGGGAGTATACTCACAGGTTTCCAAATCGTCATAGCCTACTTCTTGCTTGCACTTATGGTTTTTGAGGAACAATCGCATGTATGGTGCATGCCATTCATCATGCCTAAATTTTTTTTTTCGTAAACCATCACAGATAGCGATATTCATCAAGAGACAAAAAATGCTTGCAAGTAAACTGTCTATCAGTGTCTAAAAATTCAGAACTGTCAAAATAGTAGTTAAAAAGTTTTAGACCTCTTCAGATGTGGATGGTCAGTATTTTACCACCTACATAGCAACTACAATCAAAACGATGATATCACAAAGACCCTTTTTACATTAGACATTCACATCCCGAATTTCATTTTAATCGGCAAAACCATTTTCCGATAAAATAAAAATAACGATTTTTTTTTTAAATCTTTGGCGGTAGATAGCGCCTTACCGAAGCACCTTTGGATAGAGGTAAGTTGGGTTAAATCGTCCTATTTTGATACCAAGAACTCATGGTAGCGCGTTGTACAGACCTTTTAGGGACACCCTGTATATCACGGTAAATATCGACTGTATACAAAATTTTTGTATATGAAAGTTGTTTAATATTTTATTTCCCATAATAAGGCAGCATTCCATCAGAAAACAAATGAATAACAAAAACAACTGATTTTTTTAAAAATAGCAATGCACATTTTCATTAGACTCATTTGATAGAGATTTGCTTTCTCTTTTTAATGACGTTACTCGTTAGCACTCGTGTAGAGGAAATTAATTTTTATTTCAAGCTTTTGTGATAGGTAAGTCTTTGCGATGAAAACCATTTTACTGCTAATTTCGTTTTCTGTTCGAGGTTTAATAAGAAACGTTCATTTGTTTTATTTTGATGTAGGATATCTGGATTAATATTATTGATCTAATTATAATATATTTTTTTGAAACATTTTCTTGAATAAGGGTATACTAACATGTTATATCATCGAAAAGAGAAAAAAAAAACTCTATCAAATGAGCCTAATGAAAAGGCGCACTGCCATGTTGTACACATTCGATATTTACCGAGAAATATACCTACTATAATACCATACATAATGGGAACCCTGTATTATTATTAGTGATATGGATTGTAAAATAACGATTTGTAAGTTACATAAAAAACAGTTATATTACGCGTAACTTACAAGAGGTCGGTTTTTTTAATGTAATTTATGTCTTTTATGAAATTTACGTAACTTACGGTTTTTTATTTAAAAAACCGTAATTTTTGTAAGTTACAAAAATGTAATACCTATTTGATACATTTTGATCGGTACTACCACAGACCATCAACGGTACTACCAACGTAAACGATTCACCGATGAATCTAGTTTGGTTTAATGAAGATGATACAGCATCTAATTCGCGATCTGGAACTTCTTCCTCCAAACGACGCGTGATGGCGAAATACCTACTGCTTGGGTATTTTATTTAATACACCAAAATATATAATTTAACAAGTGTTTTTGTTTTCAAACACTCACAAAATTCAAAAAGGTTTATGGAATATTAAAAAAAACATAAAAATATAAATGACAGGTAATTTTACAAAAATATTTGTAAAATACGTAAAAAACATAAATTACTGGTAATTTTACTGTAAAATTACGGTTTTTTAAAAAAATGGTAAGTTACATAAATTACATAAAATACATAAAAAACATAAACAATTGGTAATTTTACACGTAATATTACGCACTTTAAAAAAAACGTGTAATTTAACATCACTAATTATTATG